AAAAAAAGATAACATACTCTTATCTAACTTGAGTTGGGTACTCCCCTGGTCTGCCAGGGCCAATCTCTAGGAATCATGAAGAGTGGGTGGAGGGTTGGAGTGAAAGCCATGTCCACAGAAAAGGAGCCAGAAGAAAGAATAAACAATAGATGACCTACATAAATTATATCTGGGAAAGTGCTTGAACGAAGTGAAGTTTCACTTGCTATTAATTCCATGACTGTTAAAAACTTCAATTCCAGCTTCAGGTTGGAATGCAATTTTTTAAGTATATATGTCAAAACATATGTTGATTCTCTCTTCTAAACTAAACATCAAGGGCGGTGGCGGTGGCGGTGGCGGTGGAGGTGGCGGTGGAGCGGAGGGCGGGGCTCAGCTCACCTTGGCTCGGCGGGCAGGCGCGCAGACCTGGCGGCCAACATGTACCATCAGAGATTATGTCTACTTTGAGAATTCCTCCAGCAACACTTACCTAATTAGAAGAATAGAAGAACTCAACAAGACTGCAAGTGGCAATGAGGAAGCGGAAGTAGTGTGTTTTTATAAAAGACGAGATATTTCCAATACGCTTATAATGCTTGCGGACAAGCATGCTAAGGAAATTGAGGAAGAATCTGAAACAACAGTGGAGATCGACTTGACTGACAAACAGAAACATCAGTTGAAACATAGGGAGCTCTTTTTGTCACGCCAATATGAATCTCTACCTGCAACACATATCAGGGGAAAATGCAGTGTTGCCCTTTTGAATAAGGCAGAATCTGTGTTGTCATATCTTGATACAAAGGACACATTTTTCTACTCATTGATCTATGACTCCTCAGTGAAGACCTTATTAGCTGACAAAGGTGAAATCAGAGGGGGTCCTAGATACCAAGCAGGCATTCCAGAAATGCTCCTAGAAGGAGAATCAGATGAGAGGGAACAGTTGAAATTGGAGGTTAAAGTTTGGGATCCAAGTAGCCCACTTACGGACCGACAGATTGACCAGTTTTTAGTTGTAGCACGTGCCATTGGGACATTTGCTCGAGCTCTCGATTGCAGCAGCTCTGTGAGGCAGTTGAGCTTGCACATGAGCGCAGCTGCTGCTTCCCGAGACATCACCTTCTTTCACGCTATGGATACGTTGTACAGACATGGCTATGACTTGAGCAGTGCAATTAGTGTCTTGGTACCACTTGGAGGACCTGTTTTATGCAGAGATGAAATAGAAGAATGGTCAGCCTCTGAAGTTAGCTTATTTGAAGAGGCATTGGAAAAATATGGCAAAGACTTCAATGATGCATGCCAAGACTTTCTCCCTTGGAAATCATTGATGAGCATCATTGAATATTATTGCATGTGGAAAACTACGGACAGATATGTGCAGCGGAAACGTCTAAAAGCTGCAGAAGCTGAGAGTAAACTGAAACAAGTATACATCCCAACTTACAAACCAAACCCCAACCAAATATCAACCAGCAATGGCAAACCTGGCACTGTGAATGGAGCTGTGGGGAACACGTTCCAGCCCCAGAATCCCCTCTTAGGTCGAGCCTGTGAGAGCTGCTATGCTACACAATCTCACCAGTGGTATTCCTGGGGCCCACCTAATATGCAGTGTAGATTGTGTGAAACTTGTTGGCTGTATTGGAAAAACTATGGAGGCCTAAAAATGCCCACCCAGTCAGAAGAGGAGAAGTTATCTCCCAGCCAATCATCAGAGGATGCCCAAGTTACAAGTCACCTGTCCCAGCAGGCCATGCAGGGAATGCCAGTCCGAAACACTGGGAGCCCAAAGTCTGCTGTGAAGACGCGCCAAACTTTCTTCCTCCACACAACATATTTCACAAAATTTGCTCGTCAGGTCTGCAAAAATACCCTTTGATTGCTGCAGGCAGCAAGACGTCTGTTTGTTGCTATTAATTATGCTGCCATTAGAGCAGAATGTAAGATGTTTTTAAATTCTAAATCTTACATGTTGTGCTTTTCTGACCATTTTCTTTCTTTCTCTCTCTCTTTTTTGTTTGTTTGTTTGCAATAAACATGAGTTCTTGTGTAAAAAAATAAAATAAAATAAACACCAAGACCAGAATGACTTAGAAACAATTGAAATCAGCAGGACAGAAGGTGAGAATTAATTAATGATCATTAATAATAATCATTTCACCCATGCCTTAGGATTCTAACTTTCATGTTAATAAGGCAAGGTCTCAAGTGTCACACATTTTTATATGTATTTTTCTAATTTCTTCTCAAGCATTTTATAATTATCCTCAAATTAGCCTTTGATATGAGCAAGTCTCCAGGAGAGACTCTCATTCTCTCTTAGGATCTCACAACTTGATGCCCATACACATTTAGACTCATCTTTACCACTTCCCTATACCCACCTGTGTTCCACCTACATAGACTCACTTACCCCTCAGAGATTTCCAATACATACACTAGAGTATTCATTGCTTATCTGAAATTCAAATCTAACTGAGTTTTCCCTATTTTTTACAAAATTTGCAACACTGCCCAGATCACTCTGCTTTTTCAAAGCCCCCTGACATCGTCACCCTACACTCTTCACTTATGATGCCCTTCATCAGCCTCTCCCCTTGGCAAACTCTCCAAGAATCAACTCAAATGCCTTTTTCTCTGAAAACCTTCCATACTTTCCCTCAGTGGTTAGATCGTCCTATGATAGTTTCTCAAATCTTTACTAAAACAGTGACTGGTCTGCTTGCCTCCCCTGCTGACCATGAGCTCTACAAGACTCTGTTGGACTTTATAATCTTTGTGCCTTCATACACATAACAGACACTAGCATATAGGAGACACTTAGAATCTGTCAAAGCAGTGAAGTAATGAATTTCTTTGAAAATGAACTAATGCACCTAATAACAGCTATACTATTTCTATTTCCCCGACAACACTCTGATTCATTTTCTTAAAACAGTATTTTTCAAATTTTAGAACACTCCTTGGTATATGGAAAACTCAATTTAGTGAGTGAAAATCAGCATGAAATAGAGAGAGTTGGAACTTATGGGAAAAGGAATGGAAAATAGAATATAGCATACATAATAAGGATAAGTTTCGGTTTGTTTTTTGTTTGGTTGGTTGGTTTTGTTTGGTTTGGTTTGGTTTTTTGTTTTTGTTCTGCAGACAGTCTCACTATGCAGTTCAGGCTGGTCTTGAACTTACTAAATAGCCAAGGCTAGCCTCAAAGTCATGGCAATCCTCCTGCCTCAGCCTCCCAAGTTCTGGGATTAGAGGAGTCCACTACCATGTCTGGAAAGTTTTTTGTTAATTTAAGTTTTTGTGTAGTGCTATATGTGTTTGTGTGTGTTAAATTTCACTTGAAATGTACTCCTTACTGTAAAGTATGGTCAAAATATTATGAAAGCCATTACTTTTATGAGCATATTTGTGATTCCTTTTTGCTTTTTCCTGCACTCTCCTCAAACTCCCTTCAAATACCTTCACTGACTCCACATCTCATATATCCTAGGTCACCCAAAATTTTGCCCCAAACTTTACTTACTCCTTCTTCCCACAAGTAATTTCATTGCACAAATAATTTCATCCACCCAAGACATATGACCTTCTCCTTGTACATGCCATACCCCAAAATTATGGCAATAGTCTTTGCTTCATGAGTTGTATTTGTCTTATTCCACAATTTCACCACTCTTGCCACATCCTATGTCCTTTCTGCTTTCACGGCTATTTGAATACCAACATGTTCATATGACTGTATTACTCAGTTTTTCATTAGTACAATGAAATAACTTGGGCAGATTACTTATGCAAAAAAGAGGCTTATTTAACTCAGTTTTGAGGTTCAAAGTTTTTCTGGCTTCCACCACTGGCCTTTGGGACTTCCTGGTGCAGATCTTTCATGCAGACAACCATGAATTGTTGCTGTGGGCTCTTGGCCACTGGCTGGGCTCTTGGAAGACATTGCCTTGGACTCTAGGCCTTCAGCTGGACTTATGCAGGACATTGCTGTGGGATCCAGAACCTTGGCTGGATTCTTTGAATCTCTAGTGTGGGGCTAGATCTCTTGCACTCCTCTGCAATTGACCTTTTGAGTGACTATTATAAAATAATTGTATAAATGATGTATCCTGTATTAAATCTATTCCCTTGCAAATCCTGACTACAATAAAAATGGTACCAGGAGTGGGGTGTTTGCTGTGATGTTGCCTAGCCATATGACTTAAGCTTAAAAGCCTTGGCAATCAATTTGGAAAGGTTTTAAGAGACCAACCAAAAAGGCACCCCTGATACACTTTTATTGGAGACTTTGGTCAGAGAATGGAAAATGAGAGTATTGATGGAAATGCTGCCACTTAGGATGAGGCTCAGGAGGCCTCTATTGAGGACTACATTGACTGCTGGATCCAAAGCAGTGTATATTGTGCTTCAGGAAGAAGTTTGTCTGCATTTTCTCATGTCCAGAAACTTTGCCTGAGACTAAGGGTGGTGGATTAATTAATATCACAGAAGAAATTTCTTTTTAAAAAAAATGTATTTATTTTTATTCTTTTTTCCCTCCATTAAGTTTATTGGTACATTTTAGGTATAAAATACAGTTATATACATCATTGGGATCTTGTACCATTACATGAGTATCTTGGTTCTTATTTTTTCCCCTTCCCCTGCCCTCCCTTTACCCCCTCCACCCTTCCCTATTTGCAAAGAATTTGTTTCCTTTTTTTTTCCCTTTTCTCATACCACAGAAGAAATTTCAAGGCAGGTGAATGTTGAGTTCATGGCATGGCAGCTGTTAGGGGCTTTTAGCCAGATTTATGTTGAGGATCAAGAGCAAAGAGACCAGAAGAATGGTTTAAAATGTTTTGAGTTTGGCCAGAAGGGAAACTCCAGTAAAGGTGTGGACTGAAAAATAGAACAGAGGAGATCTTGATTGCTGAGAAGGAAAAGGAGAATAGAAAAAGATGGCCTGAGGGCATCACTAGAAGCAGCAAGATTTCACCCTTTGCAGCCTCAAAATTGCAAAAGTGAAACACTTTGCTTTGGGAAGAAAGCCCCAGAGCACTATGTTCCAGGATAGTGGCAGCCTAGAGAATTTGTTCCACAGAATTCTGTTCAGAAGGTTTGGTGATCACACTTGACTCCTACAGCCAAGAGAGAAAGAATCCTGGGTAGTGCTCCAGCTGGCAACAGACCTTGGCACCATTCACATGGTGCTAGTTTTAGGTGCATGCAGAATGGAAGAGTTGTGAGGTCAGGAAGGCTTCCACACAGATTTCAGAAGAAGGCCCAGGAGGCCAAGCAGTGTGCCTCTGAGAGGACAGTGTGTGAAGCTGTGAGTGTGAAGCTGAAGGTGCAGTGGAGACCCCAGAAGTTTGGAGAAGTCAGGAACATGGATTGTCTGAGGAAAGTTGCAAGGAGGGAGCAGATCTGGCCCAAGAGAGTAGCTGTGGGAGCTATGACCACTAGAAATACCTCAGGGGTGGCTCCACCCAAGCCCTTTGGAGTTCACAACTTGCCACAGATTGCCTTGGATGCTGGAAGTAGAACTGTGGAATTTAATGTTTTCCCTGCTGAATTTTGGGCTTGCTTTTGTCGCATTCCTTTGTATCCTGTTTGTAACTTTTGGAATGAAAAGGTTTATCTCATGCCATTGCATGTTAGAAGTGTTTAAATTTCTTTTGAGGGGCTTGCAACTATAAATTTGCCTTCACTCTCAGAGGAGTCTGGACTTAGACTTTTCAGCAATGCTGAAACTGTTAGCACTTTGGCAACTCTTGGAGATGGACTAAATGCTTTTTTGCATAAAGGGATGTGCATGAGTCTTTGGGGGGCCAGGGGAGGAACGCTATGGCTTGTGCTTAGATGTCTACCTAAAGCCTCATGCTTTTCAGAGGTAGCTAAACAAGAGTGTGTGATTGATTCATGGTGGGGCTAGGCTAAAGGGTACTAGGGTTAAGAGTGTGAGTGCTACCCATTCTTAGTCTGAATAAGATAAAAGGGACAGAAAGACAATGTTGAGGTCTCATTGCTTTTACTGTCTTCTGCCACTATGAACTATTGCCACTCTGTCACCCTGCCTTGGAGCCAACCAATTATGGACTGAATCTTCTAATTGTAAGCCAAATAAATCTTTACCCCTTTAACTTATGGTGTTGGATATTTTGTCTCAGCAATGAGAGAAAAGTAACTAAGGTATGGCTCAAAGGTGAGGGGGCTATGGTCTGAAAATTCTCCTCTCAAATTCATACTTTGAAATTTAATTCTTAATGTGACAGTATTATGAGGAAAGACCTTTGGAAAAGGGAATAATGTCCATAAAAAGGAGACTGGAGAGAGCTGCTTTGCCCTTCCTATCATGAGAAAGCAAAGTTAAAAGTTGACATCTATGAAATAGAAAGCAGGACCTCACTAGACACTGAATGTGCCAGTAACTTGTTCTTGGAATCTCCAGCTTCCAGAACTATGAAAAATAAATTTTTCTATAAGCTACCCACTTTATAGTATTTTTATAGCAACCAGAACAGAGTGAAGTATGAGGTTTGAGTTCTTCAGTGTCCCAAGTCTCACAAAACTCCTGGTGCCACTTTCTGCCAAGTCATTATGATTGAACTACAAACTTAGAGGGCATATAATCAAGACCACCCTCACTTCTGACACCAATTGCAAGTTCAGAAAGTTCCCAAAAGTATCTCAGTTTTGATAATTTACTTGAAACTCTCACAGAACTCATTGAAAGCTATCATATTACCAATCATGATTTACTACAGGGGAAGGATGGATCAAAATTAGCTAAAGGAAGAGACACATAGGGCAGGCTGTAGGAGGCTTCCAAATCCGAGGCTTCCAAATCCAAGGCTTCCATCACCTTCAGAATGCATTGTACATCATGAAATGGACATGAGGCTTTGGGGGGCCAGGAGCAGAATGTTATAGTT